GCAAGCAACATATCCGAACAAGCATGTGGCAGCACAAGCAAAGCACAAAGCTTCAGCAGCATGTGCCAGCATGGGCTTGACAAAATCGGCTCCTTTGCAACCAACCCATTGCTGATTGACCCTTGTTCTGAATCTACCCCGTTTGTTCCTTTCATCCTCTTTGATCGGTTTAAATGATTTATGCGTGGTTCGTACACCTTACACTCAGCAAAATCACCATCGAAGTGGAGTTCACCACCTGATTGGTAGGATGTCATGGTCTTCCCAGGGGCCGTGCCATCCACTTCCTACTTCCAGGGAGCGTTGTTAGATGCCATTGCCCTAAATTCTTTGGGCCATGAACACAGGCGCCCTGCCTCCGGTCCGGTCCCTGCCCTTGTGCCGGGCCGGGTGGACATCGAGCATGTGCGAGCGTTGCTGCGATGGTCCTTTGAAGCCGAAAGAACCTGCATCAAAGCTCAAGTTGCATCATCTTGAAGAAATTCAGGAACTTGGTGACATCGAACTCCGCATAGGCCTGGCAAGGAACATGTGTTCTTTTTACATCGAACTCCACATAGGCCTGGCAAACAGTTGAGCCGAACAAGAAAGGGGGCCTGCGGCCTGCTATCTGGGATTGTCCAACCTCATCCTGTTGCCCAAGCACCTTCGGCTATGCTGCACTATGTTGGTGAATTTGCCCATGTCCATTCCTGATTCCTGCAATGACTAAACTGCCAGGAAGCTCAGTATATATCTAATCGGAGCCACCTTGCAGTCTACTGCACTACATCCAGTGCAGTGATCTATGGCATATGATGATGTTTGAAAGCAAGCAGCCAAGCTTATTAACGTCTAGCTCCAAAACAATCACTTCTATATAAAGGCTTGATCCTTTTTCAGGGCCCACGGCTTATTAAATATTAGGTCGTTTGATCTAGACTGCTGACAAACGCGTTTGGAAGTTCGGAGTTGAGACCTCATGAAAACTCACCCGTAGTTTCACGGCTTCCAAGACCATAGCGGCCAGAAGAAACACCAAATGTTTCTCTGATTTGTCGTCCGTCCAAACTGCCTTCCTGGCAAGCCGGGCCGTGAGACCAAACTGCCTTTCCGTTTTTTCTATCAGTGGGGCAGTTGAGCACCATGGATACCAAACACCATACAAATAAAAAGTGGCCACAGAACTCCCACACAAACAAATAACAAACGTGTAGTGCATAAACACGCCGGCAACTGGCCACGCGCTTCATGACCTCAAAGCGTTCCTGAAGATTCCTGGGCGACATGGCCACGACCAGCAAAACTGCCATCGACCGATTCAGGGCGATCGTTTTCAGACGAAATACCCTGCGTACCGCGCGCATGAGGGGCGTAAGTCGTTGTAATGAGTTACAGCTTGGTCCTACATCTTCGTTCACATGGGTCCGATGGAGGATGGCGTCACCTGCGATGTTCGAGTCTCATGTTTCGGGACATTGACCTCCCAGCCGCCGGCGAGTCTGTTTTCGGTTACCCTACAAGCAAGCAAGCTCCCGCTCCAGCGCCGATCTGAGCAGACGGCGCTGGTCCACACATGTCAAATGGTTGCGAATATATTTCTGTTTTTTTTTCGTTTTTTTTTTCGTGCTTCGTGGCAGGTGCAGTACTTTGTGGACCTTGCAAAGCACATTTCGTGGCAGGTGCAGGACTTTGTGGGCCTTGGAGTGCAGATTTTGTGGCAGGCGCAGGACTTTTTGTGGGCCTTGAAGTGCAGATTTCGTGGCAGGTGTAGTACTTCGTGGCCCTTGGAGTGCAGATTTTGTGGCAGGCGCAGGACTTTGTGGACTTTGAAGTGCAGATTTCGTGGCAGGTGCAGGACTTTGTGGGTGTGGAAGTGTAGAGTCGAGTTGGTGGCAGGTGCAGGACTTTGTGGGCCTTGGAGTGCAGATTTCGTGGCAGGCGCAAGGCTTTGTGGACCTTGAAGTGCAGATTCGTGGCAGGTGCAGTACTTTGTGGATGTTGAACTGCAGAAAGATAGAAAGACAGAAAGATTAATTGATAGATAGATAGATAGATAGAGGAGGCATTTCTTTGCTTGGTTAGAAAGTTTTGCACCGGGGAGTTCACCTTAAAATATTGATTTCGTGGCAGGCGCGGGTGTCGGGGATGAAGTGCAGATTTCGTGGCGCGGGGGGGTTGGGGGGGGGCGCAGCGCCCCCCCCCAGCAGCACACCAGATCCAAAGGTGAGCAGCTCGTGCTTGCTTGCTTGCTTGCTTGCTTGTTTCGTCTCTGCAACGAAAACAACAGGAAAAGCAAATACAAAAAGAGAAAGGAGAACAGCTGCCAAAAGAAAGAAAGAAAGAAAGATAGATAAATAGATAGGTATAGACAGATACAGAAGCCACAGAAGCCAAAAGCCACAAAAGCCAGAAGCCACAGAAGCCAGAAGCCACGAAAAACAAAAAACATCCAAAAATAAATACCCCTCCCATGTCAAATGATGTCCAATGATTATAGAATGTGCTGAACAGAAAAAAAGGTGCTAAATTAGAATGTCCACCTTTAGACATACAGGGCCTTCTGTTTAGCACATAGGCCGGGCTATACGATCCATGATCCACATCAAAGCTGCTAAAAAGATCGCCCTGTATCGACTTGGATGTCTTGTATTTTGCACTCCGACTCACTCCAATAGGAAAAGGCTGCGCCCCCCGGACTACGGAGCGTAGACTACGGAGAGTAGCCTCCCTCCAACTGCCCATCGAAGTAGACCCCCCCGGTTTGTAGAGGAAAAAGGTCTTTCCAGGGGCCATGCCATCGCACACTTCCATGTTAGTACGCGGGAGCATACCCTCCCCGAAACAAGAATGGCAGTGGTTCCAGCCCCTGTGAGCCTGTGGTCTTCCTCAAGAGGCCAGGTTCCATGTAACTACCACTTCCGCCAATCCCTAGGGCTCCAGTCGTACCTGCTCAGAAGGTATTTGGACCCTCCTAAACCCACCCTAAACACCGAACCTCAGAAGGAATGACTGGAGCCCTAGGGAATATGGGATTTGGTCTCAGCACGTTCAACAAATACTTAGGTTTGATGAGTTGAGTTGCCTGGCGCTCCAGTTGGTACCACTTCCACCAATGATTCTTAGTTTCACGGAGTGTGATCTCTGCAGCTCAGGCTCTCCGCCAAATGAGGCCCAGCGCCCATCAAGGCTAAGGAGTCCGCCTACCCGGCGGAATAAACTCGTCGCTGCGTACGGGGAGTAGGAACATGTACGTAATACGTACCTGTGAACGAAAGAATACCTATGCAAACACCAACTTAAACAATGAATTTTAGATCATCATTCCCAAAATCTATCAAAATCCAAAAGGAGGCCAAACCACCCCAACACTTCACAGGCAAGGGACATGATGAACACAAAGACCTTGAAGAGGGACTTCTATAGGAATCGGCCCATCCAATGTACAGTAATGGCCAGGTATGGCAGGAAATCGATATAGGCTTGATCTGGGGAGTCTGGGGATGCCTCTGAATCTACTTATCTTCCCTCAATGTGAGACTCTATATATCGTTACTATTGGGACAAACGTCACCTCAGCTTCCTTCCACCTTCACCCGGCTCCTTCCCCCCACGCCACCGGTGCCTTCTCGCGCGCGAAGACCAGCTCCGAGCGGAAGTCGGCGTTGGCGGACTCTCCGGCCAAGGACAAGGGGATCAAGCGTCGGCCCAGGCCGTGCGTCATCAAGGCGCCAAAGATGGGCCACACCAAGACGAAGCCTGGGCCACACGGTTGTTCGAGGAGGGAGGGTCGAAAAAGGGAAGACCGCGAAAGAGATGTAAGGGGAAACAGATCATCCGAATGAGGCTCAGGAGAAGCCGAGAAAGGCTTGAGGTCGGTCTTCCAGGGCGAAGACTGCCTCAAGAGGGCATGGACCGGGCATGGACCTGCGGTGGTCGCAGAAGCGTGGTTCGGTCATCACTGACTCTGATTTGATACGGAAGATGGACCATCCTAGTAGATCTCTTGGTCTGCAAGGGAGGACCTATGAAACCCTAGGGATCCAGTCGTACCTTCTCAGAAGCTGTTTGGGGTGGGTGCCAGGAGGGTCCAAGTGCCTTCTGAGAAGGTACTTGGATCCATAGGGAAAAACCAAGAACTATAACAAGAATCATTGGCCGGGAATGTATGGAACCAAACACCTCATATTGCTCAAACCGATCAGCAGGTCTATTTCCAAAGCATCGACCACCGGTCAGCAGCTCTATTTCGCTCTTGCCAATCCGATCCTCCAAACCTCGATCCACGTCTTCCACGTCTCGGTCGCCCTGTTAAAGCTCCGTTCGGTGGTCCAAGTCCGGTCCAAGTCGCCCAACAGTGGAGCTGGAGCCGATCTCAACAGGATGGGAAAGTAAATGCCCAGCCTCAAGGGAGCATTGTTCAAATCCGGCTCGTCTTGAAAGGAGGAGTTTCACACAGAATATGTCAACGGCGAGTCAGCAAGTCGTGAATTCGTGGTCCAACACAGAATATGTCACATGCACCATGCCCATCATGTCTCACGCCCACGTGGCAAAAGACCGCATCCGCCCCAGCCTCACAATGGATCCTAAGCCTCCGAAGAAAAGCTCCCGTGTCGATCCTACAAATTCGTCCACGTCCCGGTCGATGCGTTGGTCAGGATTGTCCACCTGGGCGTGGACGCGGCGTCGCGGCAAGTGGACTTGTTGAGCTGTTGAGCGGACGTGTCTCGGATGGCATCCGTTCACGAGCTCTGGATGGGGCAGCGGATGGGGCAGCTCCTACCAGCGGAAAACCAACGAAGTTGCCAAAGCCATGCAAAAACCTCCCAAAAGTGGTCGCTCTATTAAGGCATGCCGCATGCCATCAAAAGTCTTCGTTGCTGCAGCTCTATCATGTTTACCAGCTGCCACCCACCAACCAACCAATCCATCAATCAATCAAATGAATCCACCCACTTGTCTATCTGTATGTCCCTCCTTCCCCCTCCCCTACCAAATCCTACCAATCCTCCTTCCACTTCCGAGCGCTGCCACTCTTGGCGCGCCTGTATGGAGCTCTGTCGCATCATGCACATGGCGCCATTGCTCACCCAAAGCTGATTGAAGTGCCGTGTGAGGTGGTCACCTTAGGTGTTTTTTTCGCGTGTCTCGCTGATTGGAAAGCACTCCGAGTTGGTCAAGGAATGCACTCAAGGAAGGCCCTCCGAAATAGCTGGAGTATAGTCAGAGTGGATCATCCCCTTTTGAAACATGTAAGTCCTCCCATGGTTACATGGCCTGGCCATCCCAACGGTCCAAATGGTCCAAACATCCTCTACAAGCAGGGGGGGCCATCCACCGGTTCCCAACTGTCTCCTGTGTTCCCAAGTGTCTCCAAGTGCCTTCTGAGAAGGTACTTGGATCCCTAGGGTGACATATATTTACATACAGTTGGGGGTTATTTCAGCGGTGGATGTTAAACAAACATGCACCTTCTATGCCACAATTCACTCAGACCAAAATGCCTTGACATACCCAAACGGGAGCTACGGACCCACAACCTCCCAAAACGATGCGAATTCCGGCAACCCTTAGCCGCTACGTTCTTTCGCAGAAAACCAACAGAAAACCAACGGTGTTGTGATGCCAAGTTAGCCCAGCCGCGTGCGTGCAGGTGCCACATTCCGCTGAGGTAGTCGTTATAGGTGCCAACGAAGCCCGTCACTCCGGTGATGATCACGAAGTCCCAAAGGAGGCCTCAACCGGAGGGCGGAGAAGGAAGACGCTGCGTCTTAGGGGGAGGAATTCAAGGTAGTTGCAGGGAGTTCACTCAGCAGGGGTGAAATGGGACTCCAAATGAGGTCAAACGTCATTGATATGAGTGTCCATGTGGTATCTCTTGTGCCGGGAAAGCTAGAGCCACCACAGCGAATGTAGCCAAGCACCCAAAGTTGGCTAATGTAGGCCCTTGATTATTTGTTAACAAAACTCACAAATTTAAAATGCTTTACCATCCAAATGGAGGGGCTCCAAATGCAGGGGCTGAGTAATCAAGAGCATTCAAGAGCCTATATTGAGGGGATGATTTGTTACCACAAACATGTCTATAGCTACATGCAATTACCGGGAATATCCAACTGCATACATGACTAATTCATGGTGGCTTTTATGGTGACCTTGGATATCATCAGAAACACCGAAAACACATGAGCTGCTCGGCCCAAGTAAGTTTCACACGACCAACCCCACCTCCTTCTGACCCCGTCTGGTCGAAGCAAGTTCACTCCTTCGTCCGCTCAAACTGCCAGAGTGCGGTAGAACTGCTTGGACTGGTGGTTCTGGAGAGCAGTCCAAAAGACACCATTCCACTGTGTCAGCGCAACATCCACATAAAGCCCAACCCCTAGCAGGGTCAAGTGGGCTGCTGCATAGCCGGCCTCAGAACATCTCACTGAGGGCATTTGGTGTCGTGATGCATGCAAACAAAGACCTCCAGTTCATCCCAGTGTGAACCCACGGACGAAAAGAGGTCTCGGACCGAGATGATCAAGGCTTGCAGCCCCCCCAGGAGTAGAGAAGCCCCATAACCCCGTCCACAAGTCAGCACCAAGCTGCACACTTCAGAGATGTCGGCCCACTTATATATGGCTCCAGCACCTATGCTCTGAAGAGCACTCTCCGCTGATGGATGGATCTCAAAGGAGGTTGGGAGAATGATCTGGATCTAGAAAAATTTGGAGAAAACATCCTCAATCATCAGACTGCATTTCATTCTGGGCTTTCAGAGGTCTAAGACCGCAAGCGTGATCATCAAACTGCATATGAAACAAAAACATGATATGACATGACCAACTGTAGGAAGGAATCGTATCAGGACCAAACTGGAAAGGGACTGGGCAACATTCTTCGCGATTGTCATCACCATCTTGATGATGCCGAAGGGTGCCTAATTACTGAAGTTCTTTCCTACGATTGCCGCCGATTGCCATAAACAAATGCGCAAAAGTTCAGAAACTTTAAGAGTCAGGCTTTCACCTCTACATCGTCGTGTGTGTCAAAGACCGCCACATGCGGGGCGCCTAGGCTTTGTGCTAGAAAACGTCCGGCCCCAAGACATTGCACCCTCCTTTTGGGCCTTCTCCACCGAAATGCAGGGGATCCGGACCCGAAGGTGACCCTATTTGTTGCTTCGGGCTCGGATTTGCACCCAAAATGTCTCGATCGGTCTGTGCCTTCACTGCACTTCTAAGACTGGAGGCCTGGAACGAGGCCGCGAACGACTGTGGCGTAGACTCCCTGGATGGCATGACCCCTGAGAAGACCATGTTCAATCCGAATGCCAGAACAGGTGGTGAACTCCACTTCCATGATTTCAGGAAGTGTAGCTTTTGTGCTCTTACACTGTATGGCTTGTGCTTGCACAGCAGGCCCTCAAGCAGGTTCTGACCAAACACGAGGCTTCCTTCCAAAGATTCTGGCAGTTGAAGGACCAAGTTGAGCAACAACATACTGATGCAGGAGTCTAAGTCAAATCAATCTGAATCGAAACTAAGCTTTTTGATTGAAATATACCTAGACCCTCCCGAGGCAATAATTTTTGCCGTAGGCTGTTGAGGCAATAATTTTTGCCGTAACTCATTTTTTCTGCCATAGCTCAATCCCTGGAAAGTGAAAACGCCGTCAGAGATGTGAAAACGCCGTCGCAAAAGAAGAATCGCCGTTTTGTTTGATCTACCAAAGAGGATATTGTTTTGGTCCGTCCATACCCTGAAATTGCCTTCTCCTTTTTCACTTGTAAGTAGAGCTCATCGTTTTCAAGCCTCATGGTAGCACTTCTCAAGATGTTGCAGCCCTTGTCTAAGGTCTCGATTGACATCACGGCAGGATTTGTTCACATTTTGATCATGCAATGGCTGAAAGGATCGCTTGTGACAAGTCTTGCTGCCACCTTGAGTGACCCTAGACAGGGTAAGGGAACGACGCCGTAAGTAGGGGGAAAACGCCGTAAGTACGGGGAAAAACGCCGTAAGTACGGGGAAAAACGCCGCAAGTATGGGTAAGAACGCCGTAACTTTAAATGCAAAATCTTCTGCAACGCCGCACAAAAGGTCGAGTTACCCGCGAAAGCCGACGAAAACCCAGCATGTGACACTTCCATCAGCTGCCCTTTCCACTTCACATGACTATGCGAGTTTGCTGATATAATAAGACGCCTTTTACGTTCAGTTGCCTTTCAAGCAAGACCCTACAATGTTTTCATACTCGCCTGCACTAAAACTAAAACAAAATGATTCTTTGAGGCGCATGGATGTGTGGACCAAAATTGCCGTCAACTGACCGAAACTGCCGCAGTTCATCAAGAAACGCCGTCCCTATGAGATCAATATGGAAGAACGCCGCAGAACGGAAAAAGGCGACGTTTCATGAAAACGGCAATTATTATTGCCGTAACGAAGTTCCAGGTATGAGATACTCTAGGATCCAGTCGTACCTTTGCCTCAGAAGGTACGACTGGATCCCTACAAATATCTATCCAAATACTGAAAGTGGAACATCCCCTCGGCGTCCAAAGCGCCATGTTCCATGTGTGGAGGGTAGCGGGCATGATAGGCTGATGGGCATATCCCATGATGTACCAGGAACAGTGGATGATGAGGGTTAGCAAAAGCCTTGTCTCTAAGAGAGCGATCAGTATTTGCTAGCTACAAGTGATGGGACAAACCCCAGGTATATATAAATGGTATAAGTGGTGATACTGACTCCCGGCCAATCTGTTTCGCACGGAAGCTGGGAGATCGACCGTCCAGCAGAGTGTGGGGTAGGTCCCTGACACCGGGTAGCACTCCATGGGACCATATATGCCTTATATGGTCGGCATCCTTTGGGGTCGGCATCTATGGCATGTTTGCATGGAGCGTTTGGGGTCGGTCTATGTACCCAAACACCCCATGGGACTTACATAGGACTGCCGACCCAGAAAGACCTCCCTGGCACCACCACCCCTGGCCTGGGTAAATATGCCAGTCCCAGACGGGTCGTGTCTGGGTCATGGGCGAACGTGAATGACATGGCCCGTTGGATTCGACCATTTTCCTACATGTCTTCCTTGACCAACCAGGAGGTGAACTTTGTGATGTGCCCCTCGGTGTGGAGGAAAAGGAAGCTATACATGATGTAAAAACACACACACACATATATTTATATATATATATATACCAGCACCCTCCAACTGGTCTCCTCTGGAGGCTTTTGCTGACTTAAAAATCACAGGTGGTGACCTGTTGGAGGGTGCTGGTATATAAACAGGTCCCCCCAAAAAGTGCCCCTTCCAAGAGCTGGAAGGTGAGGCAGCATCAACTCATTCACACGTTTGGTCGCTCTTCTGATCGGCCTTTCGCCCGTCTCGTCGGTCAACAGTGAAACGATGGGGGTGAGACGGGAGAGTGCTCTACTCTCCGGAAAGGTGTCCGAAAACGTGCAATTGGCCAGGCATGCATGTTCCGCACCTGGTTTGAATGAAACCGAGGGCCACCCCCCCAAAATCGAAACAGCTTCTATGGCGAGGGACTGGTCTCGCATGATATGGCCATGTTTGCACACTTCACCCTGTGCGAAAACACATTCGATAACCTAGGATGTCAGGACCAACCTCGAGCACCATCTCAAGCACCATACATATACAACCACTCCGCTCTCTAGCAAACCTCAAAGGAGGGAGAAGATCAAATCCGCTTGCTTGGTTTCAGAGATACTGTATGGAAAAGGTGGATGGCCCAATGGTTTAAAATTTGGCCTCTATTTCTTAGGCTGCCTAACTATGCTGCAGGAGGAGGGCTGTGAGACCACTCCACCATTGCTTCAAGGTGGGGCCTTTTTCTGTGGACATCCAGGGCACTGAAGGGCCTCTCTTGGCTGATTGTCGGCTGAAATGCAGTGAACATCGCGGATTTGGCTAGTAAGGAAACAGGATCAAACATATATACCAGAAGGGGGAGTGACCGTGACCCTTCTGGTATAATAAACATCACCTCAAAAACCAGGTCCCAAATTCTGCACCTCCCCCTGCAGCGCCCATTGGAACTACTAAAATGTTCGCTTGGCCTTCTTGCTCATCGTTCCTTTGCTCGTTGGCAACGGCACCTGGCGCAAGGGCACCTTCTCCGCGCGTTCGGGCCACGCGGACTGGGCCACGGAGTCCGGGACATGGAACAAACTGCCATCTAACGCCCGAGAATGGCGGCCAGGGGTGGCTTTTGGGGGGGTCAAAGTCAATGGGTCGGCAGTCCTATGGCAGTTTTATGGAGTGTTTGGGAAGGTCAGCATGGGGTGTTCCATTCGAATCTTTGGGGTTGCAAGAGCAATTGGCGCTTTGTGAGGGCGAGCTTTATGCACCGGTGCGTGGACGTCAACTCCTTCGGTGGGCGCGCTGGGCGTCTGATTTTCAAAGATCCCGCGGTTGACCCTGAACACCCCTGTCAAATGACCCCTGTCGGGCGCTTTTCCAAGTCGACCACACATGGACGAACAACTGCGATGCGCTTGGGAAAAAGATGCACTCCTAAGCGTTGCCAGCTGAAAGTTGCACATCAATCACTTGCCCAAAAACTCTGTAAGAAAAAAACTCAGATGAAAGCCGAACTCCACACACATCCGCCCCACCCCCTGCGTGTGTGGCGCGCTTGTGCCGAATCAAACATAGCCCAAGTGACTCTCGGGCTCAGGCCATACATTCCACGCACCCCACCTTGGATTGGCTTGTTTCGGCCTGGCACAAAGAGACAACAAATTTGTCAGAAGGGGGCTTAACCATCAACAAAAAGCTCTTCCCCGGTTTTGGGGTTTAACCATACCCAAACACTCCATGTATGCCATATATTTGCCTACATTGACACCCCAAACCACCCCTGGCCTGATCGGCATATATGGCAGTCCCATAGAGTATCTGGGATAGGGAAACTTAACCACATAACATAAAATCAGCAAACACCCAGGCCACTGGTGGCCGCCATCGCTGGCGTAGGTCGCCCCAGACTGTCGGCAGCATCGCCCCAGTCGTCGGTGGCCGCCCCTCGGCTGGGGAAGAAGGAGCCCACGTGCGTGCTCTGCTCAGAGAAACCGCCTGGATTCGCGCCATCCGAAGCGAAAGCCATGTGACCAACATGCCAATCATGCCATGACACCATGACACCAATCCTACATTGACGAGTCTCAACATGGACTGCGACTGCAACATAACAAAGCAATTTCCTGAAGACAAGCTGAAGGCTCGTATAAGCTGAGTTCCTGAAGACTGTTGGCTCGGCTCTGGGACCTTTCTCGATCGGTTCCATCGGAAGAATTAAGTACTCTTTAACATACTCGTTTCAATGCGTTTGCTTCGCGTGATGTGTTCAAAGCTGCAACATCACACCTCACATAGACGTGGAACACCACCGGTCCGGTCGAGGAGTTCATGGTCTTTCTTTCGGGGCCATGCTATCCACTTCCATTCCAGTGAGTCAAAGTGTATGAAATCTTGGCCAAGGGAAGGCCCGAATGAGGCCGTCCCTTAGGAAACCAACAACGTCCTCTTTTTCGGGTCATGCTGAATTCCAGGGAATTTCGACTGTCTAGATCGTCTAGATCTGTCTAGATCCTCAGGATGTTTGTTCTCCGCCTCCAGCAATCTTTTGTAGTTGCTGGAGCACTCCAGTGAGCCGCACATTGGGATCCTCCTCGGCCGGCAGCATGGGCAGCCCGTGCCCTCCGCCGGTGGGGGCGCGCCAGGAGTCGCCCGTGGCCGTCATCGAGCGGAGCTCAGCACGGGTTTCCCGGTCTTGCCTTGGACGAGGTGGGGAGAGAGAGAGAGGGGCGCAGCGCAGCGACGAGGGGTCCGGAGAGGGGGCGGTACAACACGGAGTAATGGGACATTTTTTAGACATCAGGGAGAACTTACACTCCCTGGAACTAGCATGGAAGTGGACCCCGCCCTGTTTGTAAAGGAACATGGTCTCCCAAGAGATCATTGTCCACTTCCATGTTAGCTCCAGGGAGTGTAAAGAGTTGCAGCGCGTGTCGTGTTTGTTGGTTGTGTCGAGCCAAAAGATGAGTTGCCAGCCCCAGCGGCGCTGGCAGGGTAAGCTTGAGTGAATTATGCGTTGATTTACTCTGGGTTTGGGGGTTGTCCTGACCACAATTTCATGAGCAATCGGATGTGGGGGCTCTGGGATTTCACAGGAACTTTGGTGACAGTGCGGCATGTGGGCACGTCTCATGCCGCACGTGTCGTGCGCGGCAATCATCACACAAAGCCTCAACTTGTTTTGAAACAGGTTAACTGCCTACCAGAACCCTGAGCGAACATGAACGCAAAGAAACACAAATGAGACGATGACACAACCCAAGCAACCTGGGATGCAAATCCGCTATGTAACGTATTATAGATAAATATACATCATGGACGGGGTCATATGTGTCACGGGCTCTTGAAGCGGAACCACCAAGAAATAAAAACATACATCCCTAGGGATCCAAGTACCTTCTCAGAATGTGATTGGAGACGCTGTTATGTATATAGGTTTGCAGGGTCCAAGTACCTTCTGAGAGGGCACTTGGATCCCTAGGGCATTATATATATTAGTAAACATGTGTCCCGGTCGGACTGGGTCCGGTGAAGCTTTCGGGGAACACACGACCGTCCAAGTGGCCTCTTCATCACTCTCTCCAGAGCAGCCAGTTGTTGAACTTGTCTGCCTTGGTCGTCACTGATTTCCTTCATCTTCCCATTCCTGCAAGACGTGTTGCGCGGCAAAAGGGGAACGAATCAAGAGGTGCACTGTACATCATTGATGTCCTGAGGTAAGTTTTTGCTAGAAAAGCTGTTTCACTCCAGCAGCTACATGATTCTGACTCTGCATGGGCTCACTGAGATGATCTTGGGGACTGAACGCTTGCCTGACAGCACAGGGTGACCTGCGCCCCCCATGAAGGACTGTGCACAAAGGTTCAGCACAACACGGTCTACACTGGACCTTTGCATGCAATTGAGTCCAAACACAAAGGAAAACTCATCTGATTCCGACTGCCATGCAGACCTGCCATGCACATCCATGCACCACGTCTAGCCTGCCCCAAAGCAACACAAGCCTGCAGAAACAAACCAACACAGTTCACTCTAACCTGACAGAAACACAACCAACCCCCAAAAAAACATTAAAAAAACACACCAAGCATGCCAAAAGAAGGTGCCCAAAAGTTGATCGAGCTCAGGCGTCTGATGCTTGCTCATCTCCCGCAAGCGGCGCTTCAACATCTCCGTGGCTTGCATCAGGAACTCCAGCTGTTCTCGAAACTGTTCGCCTTGCCTCCCCATCTCCTTGGTCCGGCTCGTGGGGTAGTGCGCAGGAGCTGCTGGGGAGCTGCTGGTAGAAGGGGAAGGGGGTCAAATCCAACCTCTTATGATCCACCTGCCACCTTCTGAGAAGCTGATTGGGGACTATTTATGTAGGCTCAAAGGGTCCAAGTACCATCTGAAAAGGTATGTGAATCCATGTGACTCCTGGGGAACATGGAAAAACACATGCCAGCACCCTTAAGGCTGCACTGAGCACTACATGGATCTCCTGGCTGGACATAGAGATTGAACAAATCATCCCAATCTCCCCCCATTCTGTTGGATTCCTCCCGGTCCAGCCCAAATCCAACAAAACCTCCCCATTCTGCGGACGAGCTCGAGGGCCTACCCGCCCGGTCGGTGCCCGGCCGGTCACGGCTGGTCGTAGCTGAGGTGGTCGAGGCGGCTGGTATGACTTTCAGCCAAATCCAGGCAACTAGTATCAACTATAGACTGTTTACCCAAGCACCAACCAGTACTACCCAATGGTGGACTTGTTGATCTTGGCCTCACGTGTTTGCTGCTGAATTTTTGGATCTTGTTTCGTTGACACAGCCAGCAATACTAAGGACCAGCTCAGCACGGGAAACGCACCAAAGTCAAGCCACCTGAAGCCGATCGTCCACCACTCCTGAACAGCCCAAATGAAACTATGTTCAACCCAGCTACAAAGGATTCAGAAGCTGTAATCATCTAGGCTATACGCATTCCTTGCAAGTCACTATAGGATACTTATGAGGCAAACCTTAGGAGCTTTAACATGGTGGTAGTTTTCAATCGTCCAAGTTGAGGGGTGTAGCCTTAACAGGGTCTGAGAACCAGCAAGTGAATCCATTCAAACTGAAACCAACAGCTCGCTCGTGGTCTCAAAACAGCGTTGCTGAAGGGGGGTGTCTGACTGTCAGATGCGAAGATGCGTCAGCAAAAAAAACGAGCACCAAAAAAGAACACACATATTAGATACATCTATTAATGTCAATCTATATATATATATAATATATTTTTATATACATTAGATCCGAATCTTGCCAAAAACACTGCTTTCCAAGACTTCATAACAACATGCATATCAAACCACGACCGAAACAGCTCCTTTCAGTTCATCAGCTTGACCTTCCAGTTGTCTCAGTAGCTCATCCTGCAAAAGGGGTGATAATGTTTCTCGCTTGAGATCACCCCTGGTGGATGAAGAGAGGGCGAACATGCAAAATTATGCCTTTACATCTAGTTTAAACCATGCAGCCAAAAGGCATCTTTTCACATAGTTGGAAGATCCCGGTATACCCCAAAACACATCCAAAAAAGGCTTGGCAATTTTTGTCTGGCCACACTAATTGTAGCACAGTACTGTCCAAACCCAAGTTGAATGACCCTAGAACACTCCAAAAAACACTCCCAATCCAGACGTGCAAGGCCCTAATGCCATGTCTTTGGTCATGTTCCACTTCCATGTTTGTTGGAGGGTAGCGGTCATGATAGGCTGATCAAGGGTATAGTTTGGGGATATCCCATTACCAGGTTTCAGTGGATGCTGCTGCTGCTGCTGATGAGGATGATGATGATGATGGTTAGATCGCAGGCCGACATCTTGAAAATAGTGATTGTATATCAGTTCAAGAAGCGCTTATGCCCCATTTCTCCACCTGCCTATGCACGAGTACACTGCCAAGCCTGTTCTTCAGGACTTAGGCAGAAATTTCGATCTCCCGTGCCTTCCCATCAACTTCAAGCTTCTTTCCGGTGGGAGGAGTAAAGAAGGTACCACACGTCGTGTGGTATGCAAGCGTTCTGGAAACTAAGTGCCAACTTCATGGTAAAGCCAAAACAAGCTGCAACTGCAAGTATTGCCTCACGTCGTTCAGTGGTTAGGCGCATCAGGAAAGAAACCGGCGCGACCTCCTGAATATAGATGGACATAATCCGGTAGGATGCCCATCGTCCTCGACGTTGTACGAGGTCTCCTGACTCTGTTAACTGCAGCAAGTGTGTGGCCCCACCTGGCCTAAAGGAAGCTAAATCCAAAGGCCGCATGCCATGTATATAGCCTGCTGGAATCTTCAGAGCTTTGCAGATCGACTTAAATCTGCTCCGAAGCGACTGCGGGCTCATATTCCAGAGTTTCTCTGAGGCCTGAGAGATTTAAAGCCAACTCGCAGACCTGGATCAGGTCGGGATAGTCCACTCTGGCAGATTGGTGTCTGGCCGTAGTAAACCGAGTCTTTGGCTTGTTGATTGCCAGCAGTAGGAAAGGTACCGACCCTTGCAAGTCAAGACAGCGAGGAGTACCTGAGGCGGCATCGCTGTATGGTGTGTTGCCGGCTCAGTCTTCACCCAGGTGTAGGCGACATCCCAGGCGCCCTGGAGAACTCTACGGAGTTGTGGCTTCCAGCTTCCTATGGCATTTATTGTCTCACTGTAGTGCGCCAGTGGCCTCCCTGACTTGTAGAGGTCCCTTCCGTACATGGAGAGGAGTGTGTTGATCTCCTCTACATGATGGTATGTGTCTGAAAATCCATCACCAGGCCTTTGGTTTGCAGCCATGTTGCAAAACCGCTCAACAAGACTTCTCTCTGCTTTGCAGTAGTTCCCAAGACTGGTCTTCCTGCTGGGAGTGGTCCTCTATCCGCTCTGACACTTCTCATCCTCTCTCTGGCCTGCATCCAGGGCGTTGCTCGCAAAAGAAGCAACAGGAACTGCCAGTAGCAGGCCACCCTCTCTTGACAAAATGGGCAAAGCAAAAACTGATCTAGGCTCACCCTCGGCTGCTAGGTCCGAAGGCACATGCACAACTAGAAGGCTTGGCTCGCCTTCTTCCCCGAACCTTAGTTGTTCCTTCTGCATTGCTTCAATGCCGGAATGTCAATCCGTGCGCCCAAGCAAAAAACTTGCAACTCGGTCAGTGATGGGAACTCTTCAATAATGGTGCTCTCGGTCAGACGAGTCAGGGCCAAATTGGCCTGCTTGCGGGATCCGGTCCTAATCGGCTCAACTAACCCTTCCCCCCTCAAAATGATCCAATGCGTACTGTGCAAATGAACTACCGGGCCGGCTTTCTGATACTCAGTGTTCAGTCGCAGTGCGGACCAGGCCAAGTGGCCACACTGAAAGGCTCTCCTGACCCTGGGTTCTAGTGGAACACTCGAAGACTTCAGCCGGGTGCTGCACAAGTCCAGGATGTTCTGAGGCACGGGCTGACACGGGTCTCCAGGCAGGACCGAGTTAGCTCCTGGGTAGGACTCAGTGGCCCTAGGCTGGTCGAAAGGCGTGCTTGCCTCCCTCCTCAACCACCTCCCACTCAATCTGATCAGCAAATCCACTCTCCTCGGCCCAATCTGCCAACCGGGAACTAAGGTTCTGAACCCTTGAGCTCAAAGCGGACACCTCAGCAGCTATCAACGCGAGCTCTAAACGAATGCCGTCCAGTGCTGCCTTAGTGCTCATGCAAGTATCCACCTAGTCTTCTCGAAAGGGTCCTGACCGCAGCGGCCTGGCGAGGCCCTAGGGCGGGGCTTGAGATGAATTCTCACAGGAAAAAGCAAGCACAGATACAGAGAGGAACCGAAATGCAAAGGCCACAGATGATGCCGAGAATGAAGGGTCCGAGGATGGACGGTGAACAGTGGGCTCTACAAGCAAAGAGGTGAGATGCTTGAATCAGGGCCGTTGCCCCACCTAGAATCCTGTCCATGAAGCTTGAGAGGCAAGTCGCGTCAGTCACTGATATTGTCAGCTTGTATGTCACTACTTGTCTCCCGACAGCTCTACACGTCTCCAGGGACCAGACCCAGTTCGTGTCGGACCCAGTTCGCCTGCAAACTCCGCAGTGAAAAGAAATTGTCCAACCGCATTCTTTGAGAACCTCCATGGACCTACCATCTTGGGATAGGATTCACCAAAAATTGACCTTGCCGTGCTCCAAAACCTGCCCTTGTCCGGGTGAAAAAAGCAGCGGAACCCAAGCCGCGCACCTTGGCCAGATCTGCCTGAACCGGACAAAAAGTGGGTGGGCCCGTGTGCAGGCTCTCAAGTGCGGGTGGTTTCAAGAGTAGATGGCACTGGCACACCAAGATAAACCACCAGACTTGGGGGCCCGACCGTGCCATCTACTCTCCATCCAAAATCGGACTTTGAAGGTCCGTTATAAGATCACCAAGGGTTTTCCGGCTACAACTCCGCGCTAAGAATCATGGTTAGGTGGATGGCACCATATGTTTGTAGAGAATGGTTATCCTTTTGGGGCCAGTTTCCATGTCCATGATGATTTCAGGGAGTGGAAAATCTTGAGCAATCCAGAACAATGTGTAAAACTGGCGGAACATCTAGAAGAAGCTTCAGGGCTTTACTGGGTATGCTTGCACAGTTGCAGACCAGTGGATGGACCCAGGCTCGCATCTGATGAAACACCAGCCAAATGACCAAAATCATAACTGTAGCAAACATGCATGCATGTGTGTGTGTGTGCCAGTGTAAACACATAAAAGCACAAATAGTGACTCGTGACACATGTCGAATGATACGATCATCTTGGTAAGGAGGCCATTCGGCTTACCTTTGATTATGGAAAGTAGCCAACCTGGTAGAGGTGAAAATACCCCCAAACCCACGCACCCCACTGAACATGTTGAAGTTCCGAGGCGGGTCGGCAGGTCCCAGCGATGGAGTCGGAATTGATGGAGTCGAGACACATCACATCGAAGGTTATTTTTGGCTATTTGCGGACGTCGAAAGCTCTGCTTGTGACACGCCACATGCATTTTCCAAATGACCGTAGGGCTCCAGTCGTGCCTTCTGAGGTTCGGTGTTTAGGGTGGGTTTAGAGGGTCCAAATACCTTCTGATGAGGTACTTGGAGCCCAGGGTTAAGTAAGATAATAATATCTTCATTATGATAAGTTGTTTTTCCACTACCGAAGGCAAAAAACATCAGTTACCAGGACCGTCCAAGGGCCACCAATGGACTACACTCCACTAATTACTTAGGGATCTCCATTGAACACCCAAACGGGATGGTCCAGGTACGAAGTTTCCACAATTCAAGCCAGCTCCACATTGGGAGTCTTGAAAAACTACGACCCACAGGACGACTGCAACCACGCATGACCCACAAAACCTGCACCTGAGCAGCCAACAGCGCACAACTCGCGCACACGAAGATCGTGCACCGATGTTTGCGTCCGTTCATCTGAATGAAACCCTGGCCTGATCTTTCCTCTGAAGCCAGTCTTCCATTTGCTCTATCCGCGGCAGCCTAAGTTATACTCCCACCGCCCAGCTGGGCAAAGCTGAGTCTGTTCGGAGGAATGCGAACATGTTCCGGCAGAATGAGGTCATCGAACGCTACAGTACATCCTACTACGTAAGATTCTACTAGGATGCAATCGTCAACTGATGAAAGCACTTCCCACCAACATCCACCAAGTTTATAGAATTAATTCAATCTAGAAAGCCCTCACCCCACTTTAAAATGCCGTCAGCGAACCTGACAAACAAATCACAAACTAATACAAACTATCATTGCATCTGCTTTTGGCCCTTGTGGTCCTACGAAAAAAGCGCCTTCCTCCAAGCACAGCACCGTGTCCGACCGGGGACCCACTGGTCGCCAAGCAACAAGGTCTTGCCAGCCAGCTGTGCCATCTCTTGCCTCGACACTGACAGGGCCCGGAAGAGTGAATGTCTTCAAACACTCCAGGTCTACCACCATGGTCATATTTTCAGGAGTCAATGTGTACCAAGAGAGATCTTGGAAGGCCTTGGGACGAAGGCCGTCCTCCAACACCATGTTTGAGGACGTACTATCCGGTCCTATAAGGCCTTTTGTTGGTATAGGCACATGTTACATACATTGGAGTGTTGGGGATGGATACCTTTCACTCCATACCGGCCACATCTGTGTTGTCGCTCAGCGCTTCAACACTTCATCTCCTTTGCGCTTCATGGCTCTGATTGACTGGACAGGTGGGACCTTCACAGACGGATCCACGCATCCTGGGATCCGATCGGATGCACTGGATGCCTCAGGCGCTGTCCAAGTAGCTGTAAGAACCGGTTCATATGATTGCAGGAAACCTGCATGAGGGAGGAGGAAGCACGTGGAAACAACTGGCCACCTGGAGTGTCCACTTCAGATCTAAGCCAGCCAAGCGAAGACTTGGCTAAATCATCTTGTATTGTGGCCATGTTGTGGTCACTGAACTTGTTGTCACAAGTCCAAAAGGACTTCTTTCAATACGACCCATTCAACTAATGATTAATGACATATTGACTTGATGACAATCCCCCTCTGAAAACTGATCGGCCCACACCAAAAAGGAGCAGCATCGTTGACCTCTCTCTATCCGTGCCTTGCCACCTCCCACACCTCCCACAGTATCATACCGGCTGTACAGTCAAACCGGGAGATCCTGTGGCCCCGACTGGTCTATATCCTGTGGCCCGATTGGCTGCATCGATCCCTCAGAAGGAGTTTCACAAAAGGAACACCATCTCTTCCCCCATGTTCCCCATACGTTTTCGCCCCACCTTCTTCTTCCCCACGCAAAACCAACCGAGAAAAAAATAACACGAGACACACACACACACATACACACCGCGCATTCAACGGATGCGAAGAACTGTGCGGAACGATGCGCTGAACGCATCCCGGTCACTGCGCTTTGCTCATCTCCAAGAGAGAGGAATCGGTCTGCTTCAACCGTGCCTCATGACCTCGGGCGGAACGGTCGGAACCCGCGCCAACGACCGCGCCGTGCCGGTGCGAAAAGACAGCATCACGGATAGCGCGAACGTTGGCGCCGATTTCGCCGATAGTCGAAGCGAACAAATGCCATGACCCCTGGCATAATGGGTAAACCAGTTTGGCATCAAGTTCAAAGTTCCAAGGGGCGACACGCCCGGTCGGTGTGTCCGGTCAGCGCCCGAGATCGACACGTTCTACGCTCGTGACCGACACTAAGACCATCTTACATGTGACTTAGACAATAAATATCATATCCCCAAGACTCCGGTCATGTCGTGGCAGTAGCTCCCCCAAAAAAACAGTAGAACACATGTGAAAAAGTGAACAGAAAATGAATGTGACTCAGTTAAAACAGTGAAATTCCAACAAACATGGAACATGAATGAAACATGGAATTAGAGGATTCTGATGCTTCGAAGATAAATATCATATATACCTGGAACCCAACTGACCCCTATTTTGATAGGAAAAGGACATATTTTGGGTGGTTGGTGGTCCAAAATAGGTCATTCAGTTTCTAGGTGTACATATTTCTTAAATAAATTATATATGTGACTCAGTAAGAAAGTGTCATTCCAACAAACATGGAAAATGAATGAACTGCCTGGAAGCCTGCCATGTCTGAGGACCCCGTGGCTCGATTCTGATGGTACAAACATGTACAAACGGTCCCAACACCGTGGCTCGATTCTCGCCCGGGTGGCGTTCGATCATCGTCTTCATGTCTTGGACGCTCTGCTTGTTGGAGGTCATTGTCCCATTGGCCTCTTTCATCAGCGCATGCTGCCGCCTTGTTGGACGGGCGGATGAGGACGGGTCCGGGTCTGAGGCTGACCAAGCCAAGTGATCGCAGTTTTGTCTGAGAAGCTGACACTCCCTTGAGAAGCTGACATGGCAGCCAGTGGGCCCTACATCGATCATCTGCGAAGGGTGCGCGATTAGTTTGGCTCCCTGAGGACTCAATCTCCAGGTTCCTGCGTGAAGCTGGTCGACATCTTGAAAAAGGACACTTCACCCTATAGCCTTGATATGTATTCTAAAAAGAAGGTTGAGCTGCCAGTGGTTTTCTATAAAACCCTTAGCAGTAGCAAACGATGGTTCTTCGGGATTCAGGCTATTCACCAATCGTGGCCTTAGCCTAGGCTTCAAGAGCAATGCAGTGACTTGGTTTTGAAGTGCCCCGGCTTTGAACATGGTCCAAACGTGCTCCAAACGCATGTAGTTTCAGCGCCTGTCCAGACAGAGAACACTGTTCCGTCAAGAAGGCCATGACCATCATGATCATCAACTCAACTGGTTTTTTGCCGAGCTGAATTTCTTATTCACTTTCTTAACAGCTGAGCTCTGTGCAAGAAAAAAGGGAACAGCCGGAAACATTCATCATGGCCCCACGGTACATCAACAGCAACGCTAGCTGTGCAAAACTGACATACCAGGACCTTCAGTAGTTGACCGTACTTGGGATGTTCATGGACTTTGCGTTGCTGTTGGCCTGCAAAAGGCAGGTAAGGAGACTCCAATTCGAGGTCACCTACGGCTCAGGTCCTGGTACTTACGAGTTACTTGGCCCTAACGGTCACATCTGTCACTCCCGGACGGGTGACTGATATATCTCATCGTTCTTGGCGGCGGTTTCTTCCCGCATGGCCTGCGGCGGGGTCTCATGGAGTCTCCCAAATGCTGAAGAATGTCCATATCTCAGTTTTCAAAGTGTTTATGTTTAGACTTCACGCTGGAAAAAAAGGGCATCGCCATAAGATGTTGACATCCACAATCCCAAACTTCATGCATGACACTACTATAATTGATCAATACGTTGATCAATATTATATACATCAGCTATAGTGCAAAAAAAACATGCTTACAAAAAGTCATAACGATCGAGAACAACAACAAATATAATACATACACTCCGACTGACTAACATGGAAGTGGAGTTCACCCCCTGTTCGTAAAGGAAAGTAGTCTTCCAAGTTGACCATGCCATCCACTTCCAGTGAGGTGAGTCGTGTACGTTCCGTCACCCCTTCGACCCAAACCCCGAAAATCCGGAAGGGCAACGCATGGAGCTTCGGTAGACTCCACCTCGGTCGATCGTCTGAAAGAAGCGCCTGGAGCTTGGAGGAGTGCTTCTGGTCATTGTGAGCCACGAGCACCTCCAACCTGCTGATTGGCGCGGACCAGCGGAGGGTTTTCTCTCCGTGTTTCTTTTCTCTGCCGTGCCTGCCGAGGCGAATCTGAGGAAAATAGCATGCAAAAGGACTGAGAACACATGAGAAGGCGTCCTTCTTTTCAGCTGCATGCAAGTGGAAGAATTATGGATTGTAATCGCTTTTGATGGACAAGTCAACCGACATGAACCACTCACCACGCCATACCACGCCACCACGCACCATACAAAGACACTTCACATACATGTGGACATGTCTCATCATGTCTCCACTCACCATGCACCTCCTTAACCCTTTCATTACGCTAAGAAGAAAGAATCCAAATGAAGCATACAGTTACAGTACTACTAATACTTATAACTTATACAGTACTAAATCATTCATAATCACTGAATGATCACGTTCCCTTTTAGAAACACCAAACCTCTCTGACCGCCCCTTGTTTCCGGGGGGGGGGTGGCCTCCCACCATGCAGGACACCCTCCGGCCTCCGACCTCCGACCACCGTGCCTCTCGAGGCGCGCGCGGACGTCGTTGAGGTCGGTGAACTCGGCCTTCTCGCCGAGGGCCTTCTCGACCCAGTCCGCGTTGGCCTTCTTGGCCTAACCGACCGCGCCGCGTCCCGACGCGGTCGGACCGCGCCGTGGGAGGAGGTGAGCAGTGAGGGTCGGACCGAGAGCGCGGTCACCACAGATACAGCGTGGGACGTGAGAGGATCGGAAGCGGATGGGACCAGTCACCAGTCCCAGACACGGCCCCGTCTGCGACTGCCGGACTGCCGAGAAACGGCCAGGGGGGTGCCCACCACTGGACTGTCAGTCCGTTGGCCATGGTCCAAGTGATGTCGAAGCTCTCTCTCTTTAGGCTGGTGTCTTTTCAGACCTGCACCTGCCAGAAGCGTTCCCGCGCGTCTTTGGAGACCAGCGGCAAATTCTGATTCTAAGGCTTCTCTCTGCCCGATGAAGACCGTTTCCGCCATGCCATCGACGTATTGCCGAAGATCTGCGAGCTTCTTCAACACGGCGTTGTATTCCTTTGCCGAGTGTCACTGGCCACCCCGGCTGATCGAAGATTGCTCTAGAAACGGGCTGGCTGGAACTCCACTCATTTAACTCCCCAATCCCTCCAACCATATCCTCAGAAGGTGGTTAGACCCCCTGGCACCCACCAAAACGATCGAACCTCAGGAGGTGGGCCAGGAGCCCTAGAGACTTGACAATCATTATATCATGGGGGCCAGGGACAGCTCGTGAAACCAACCCACGAAACATGATTTGTGAAAGTTCATGCCAACGACACCCTCCAACTTACTTGGAGTTTGTAATGGGACTGCATGTTGCTACTGACGTCGTGTGGAAACGCAGCAGCTATTCATCTGAACACGGAAATGCACGGCCTTGTGAGTTGGATATCCCATGCAGCCATCCAGTTCCTGGAGAACACCGCGTTTTGAGGTGTGTTTCTCCGGACTCAGGGGGACCCAAAAATTCTCCGTCTTTCTCGCTCACCCTGCCAGCAGTTTCGTGGCCAAGTTCTCATCTTTGCGTGATCAAATGCACTTCCAGGACCTTCCGTATATGTGACCTGCTTGAAGTCTCGAAGTAGCCTCCATGTAGCCTCCTTTGCCAAAGGCCCTACCTCATGACCTCAGAAGGTACTTGGAGCCCTAGGGTTTCTATCTATACATCAGCATGCAGCCAGATTCATCAATGCACGCAATCTTCATCCCAATGGGTCGGGCGATGAACCCGGAGCGCTTTTTCGTGCACCAAGGATCTGCCCAGTTCACCTTCTTTGTGACGAGCGTTTGAAGCTCAATCACATCTTCTCCTGCAAGGGCTGAGGAAGCGGGTGGGCCATCAAAACGACCATATCATGCCCATACACTCCATGGGACTGCCATAGGGCTGCCGACCCATTTGGGCCCCCCCCTCGGCACCACCCCTGCCCGTTTCTCGGCATCCAGTCCCATGAATCATCTGGGATGTAGACTTGAGGTTATAGTAGGACTCAATATGACTCAATCCATTTGGATTGAACGACCACGTCATATGGTGTTTTTTGGGATCAAGAGTTCTGTAGAATGCCTCCATTCCCATCCATTCCCCTCTCCTTGGCATATGCTGAGGCAAGAAAAACAAACGAGGCAAGAATGATTTCATTTGTTTTGCCATTTGTAAGTTAATAAATCCTGTCACTGATTCCATATATAGCTCCTTCACCCTATATATGGAGGTCATGTTGGCACCGGAATGGAAGCACCACGTGTATCAAAACAGAACACCACACATTGCAGGCTCTGATGATCCTGGTTTGAGCCTTATTCATTCACCCACTGCGCTTGCCAAAGTAGCCCCACGTTTGCCCAACCGGGTCCATTCGCTCTGCACCAAGCGTCTCTTGGAGAACATGGAGAGGCACTTTCGATTGGAGTCTTGAAAAGCCTGAGGTGTGCTGAGATCCCCGGCGCTGTCAGATAATGATGAACAGAGAGCGAGCAATCAGAGGTCAAAGGTGCACTATAAATACATGCACAGAAATACCCGTGTTTCACTGACAATCTGACAATGGTACTAAGTTCGTCTCAAAACTAGACTCTCTGGAAACCACACTGGATGTCTGGAAACCACAACGGGATGTCTGGAAACCACAACTGGATGTCTGGAAACAATGCATGAAGATCCGTCGAAACGAGGATCTCCATGACTCTTCTCTTTTTTTGCACCGGGCCAATATATCGGAATGGTGGATCTCACCATTTATCTCACCCTTCTTCACGTGTTTGTAAGCTTGTAGGAATATTTGACGATCATCGTCAGAAAATATCCAGAGCAGCTGCCTTCATCTCCAAACGCCCTAATCCAACCTCGAGGGATCTTTTTTGATCTAGGTTATATATGTCTTTTCACATGTCGATGAAGACGTCCCCCCTTCTTCTTTGTAACTGACAGAACGTTGGAACAAGCACAGCACGTGTCACACCACAGACCGCTCATTTTACGGGTCGCGTCGTGTTGCTTTGATCGATCGCGTAGAGACTCGATGTGGTGTTTCAACCGTCGAGACTCGAGATCATTCACATGTACAAAGGTCGCCCAAACCGCTTCCATCGGATTCCTTCAGCCCGGTCGACCGCTTCAAGACCGCCCCGACCGCGCAAAAAGGATTCCTTCAGCCCCGGTCGCATCCTCGATCCGATTCTCAAACTCCTGAAAGGCCAAGCCCAGGGCGCGTCGAAGATGCACCTCGGGAGTCTCTCGGGAGTCTCGCGAGCGGGCTCTGCCGAGAGACCGTAGTAGAGTGCCAAGTGGGGGCCTACTCAGAGTGGGCCATATTCAATGAATGGGTTCAAGGGAAAATCCTATATCCTATTATCTATCTATCTATCTATCTATCTATCTATCTATCTATCTATCTATACACAATGAATTGGCTTTTGGGAGGGGCAGCCCACAGGAACCATGCTGAAATCACACCCAAAACAATGGTATAGATGTTCCGATGTTCCTTTGAACCGATTTGGCCTTTTTCGTACAAGTAATTCTGAATACTTCTGAAAACACCTTTGACTGATTCAATGTTGTTGTACCTCTGCTGAGAGTTGCGTGCCAGGATGCCTAGGAGTTGGGTGGTGCGTGGACACTCCAGAAAGCTTATGAACCGCCGGGAGGGTCCTTACAAGTGGGTATTCTACAATTAGGAAGTGGATGTCTAAAAAGAGGCACAGAACTGATTTGCCATGTGTGGAGCTGATGATTTTCATGGATTTCGTGCCATTTGGGACTGGGTCTCTTCACCTAGAAGCACCAATATCTACACCATGTTGCGAATCATTAATACCAGGTAGGTCGTGCCGGTTCGGTGTCCAAGTCGGTCGAGGCAACTCACCCAACTCACGGGCAACGGACGACCGACATAAGGCGTCGCGCTTCGCGACTCATGGCTCGTGTAGTGACATTCCCTTAGGGCTCCTGGCCCATCTCCTCAGGTTCGGTGGTATTCATCCCCCATGGCACCCACCATAACCATCGAACATCAGGAGGTAGGCCAGGAGCCCCAGGGTTCCAGATCCCAAACACGACATACATTGGGGTGGTGCCAGGGGGGTCAATGGAGTCTGTGGGTCTTCTTTCATGTTCCCCACCTACCCATCCACCGTCCCATCCAAACGCTTCGTGTCGACTCCATCCAAGCGGCCTCTGAGATCATCGTTTTGAGCCCAGTTTCCAGATGTGTCACCGCCTCATGATGCTTCAGTGACAACTTCCTCGGCAACAACACGGACGGTGACTCTTCTGCCCATTTCGACCCGTCTCTTGGGATCAGCGAGAGAGAGAGAGAGAGAGAAAAAGTACAACAACAGATTGTACAAAATGGTCTACGGTACAAGTAGCTACCTAAACAGGAAACATCAGGAAACAATAGGCCTGGACATCCAATGGGAAGGATCTGATCTTCTGGTCATCGGTCACCCCTGCGAAGGTGCTGTGTTCGATGCCATGGAGGCTCCAAGCATTGTTAGGGTGCTTGCTCCTAGCGATGCCCTTGTTACTCGTAGCTTCTTGTTCCTAGTGGTCAGGCCAGGAGCCCCTAGTAGCTTCTCGCTTTGCCTTGAAAAAGGCACTAAGTGAGGGTCTGTTAATATGCCCTACGCCCTGGCTTCGAGACCCACATGGAACCTGAGTTCACCACGTCGGGTCGTAGAGGAAGTCTTCGTCTTCCAGTCAGGTCCATGCCGGTCGCCCGGTTCCATGTGGGCCACTTCCCAGATGTACTCCCTCCATGATGAGCTCATATGAGCTCCTCCACTCCCCAGCTCCAGCTGGTCCAGCTTCTCAGCGATTGAAAGCTTCTTGCAGCGAGGATCTGCAGCTGGTTGATCTCATGCTGCAGATCTAAGACCTTCCTTCGGTTCAAGTTCTGGTCGGCCACCGGCTCAGGGAACTCCTGCCGAAGGCATTTTTCGGCATTTTCGGCATTTTGCCCACGCATCCTTAGTTTAGATTCTAGATAGAGTTTCTAGGTGGACTTGAGTTGTGCCAAGTATCAAATATAACTGTATTCCTAGTATTCTGGCACACGCCCGGAAGAAGTGTGTTGGTCCATCCAGTGGCCATGTGGGGCCAGCATGGCTAGCTTTTCATGGAGTCATTTGGACATATTTGGACCAGTTTTTGGGTGTCGGATGTTGTCAGTGCGCGAACTTGGTAACCTCTGAGTGCACTTAACCATGCGTCACGGAGGAAGCATGTGCGCAATCCAGAAGCACAGGAACAAGAAGGGAGCAGGGCTGAACAATGACGACATCTCTATATGTGATCAAATATATACAAGCCCTATGCAGCACATTCATGCCACTGCATTCATATTGATCTTCAGGACTCAACACCGGTACCTCATGGCTAGTTCATTCTGCCGCCCAAGTTCGGCAGTGCCATCCTTTGTCGTGCGATGCACTTGTTACTACTAGTAAGGCACCTGTTACTACTAGTAAGGCACCTGTTACTACTAGCGATGCACTTGTTACTACTAGCTTACCCCCCGCTTCCGTCCTCTTCCTCATCGACCAGCCCGGTGGCCATCTGCGCCAGCGCGAGCTGTGCCATGGCGCGCCAGCAGCGACGACGGGCAGCGGCCCCGGGCACTCTGCGGGACGCTAAGGCCGCGTAAGGTACTCTGTTTCACGGTGGTAAGGCCGCCGCAGGATTCCGGGGGAGGAACAGCGAGACGTTCGAATCGATAGACATGTCCCAGAAAACGTGGAAGGCACTCTCAAAGCTAAAATTGCTCAAGATGTTTCCTTGAAAGAAGTGCCCAGCCGCCTGGTTCCAGCCTCACTTCTAGCTGGTTTGACAGGTAATTAGATCAATCTTCCACTAAACAGTGCAGTAGGGTCCTCCTTTCGCATGGGTCCTTGGTCCTTCGTACTTGCTTGGAACAAAGGGTTCTCATTTATAGGCGTGACTTGCATGTGACCTCAAACAACCAATTGGTCCAATCTCACAAGGTCCAGTCCAGCCTCTTCCTCTTTTGTGGCAGCTTCCACCACCTCACTGCTGAGGGGAACAACACGAAGTCCGCTGACCGCCATACGCGTCCAATGAAGTTGACAAAACATGAAGCAAACCTGCTCACACTGGCAAACTCCACGTGCCGACTCCCTCAGGTTCCTTGGAACAAAGGTTAGCCTTTTTCATCCTTTTTGGTATCTGTTCCCATCTCTCTTGCATCACGTCCCGATGCAGTATCGTGGACTCACGGGTCCGATCGATACAGGTCACTGCACATGAAGAACATGCACCTAATTAGAAACACAAGCCGAAACGTCAAAGGCCCAGGATGTAATCTTCTGACCACACCCATCCAAAAGTAACCGCCCATAGGCTTCAAGTTCGGAAGTGGAAAAGAGGGGGCGGGCCCCGTAAATGGATCCCTTGGGGATCGCCCGTCCACATTTGTGAATCAGGGTGGACTCGTGCCGACCCGGAAGAAGCTCTTGTGGGGGCCGATGGAAAACAAACGAGCACGCCTTCTTCACAACTTTGAGAACCTCGACGAAGGTGGTGTTGGGGGCCATAACAGATTCAAGTGTGAAATGACGGGCGCAAAAGAGAAAGGTCAGTTCGACATATGCAACCGAGTCTTCAGGTTGAACCCGCCAGCGCAAACCACTCAAAAATGCAAGGATGGACCGTGCGTCACCCACACCAATCTTGTCTTCAAGGGCCTGAACGATGTCCTGGTTGGAACATGGGACCCATGAAAAAGCTTCCTCAGGCGGACTCCATTCCCATGTGGGAAACCGGCGATGTAAGGAAGCAAGATCATCCAAAGGTTCATCATCTTCCTTGGTTTTGAACATTGAAACTTTCGGAGCTGCCAACCCAATCACCTGGTTGAGCTTTGTGAGTTCCAACTGTCTCTGATAAACAGCCTCCTTGAGCTTGGGAGCAAGAGCAGGGTGAATGGCAGCACGCTCAAGGGCTAAGCGTTTGGCGCTCTCGTCTGCGACTCTGTTGCACACCACTTCGTGTCGTGTCAGTCCAAAAGGGGCAGCATCAGAATCCACAATATTTGCAAGAGGTTTATCATCACAAATATGAGCTTTCTGCCATTGGAGCAAAACCGGGTCACAGTGAACTTGGCGCCGATCCTGCCACAAGCTAAACAGCACAAGCCACCATGGTCGATGACTCCAGGTGAGAGGGATACCGGGAAGGTTCTTGAACTCCTCAAACAAATCGACAACTGTTTGGCAGTCAGTGTGAACTACGACTGGGCCCTCTGTGCGAGCCACTGCACGAAGGATTGCATATAATTCAGCAGCGTATGGAGTGATTGCAAAATGAAAAACAGGTTTACACTCAATGCAAACTGCATCATCATTCACAATGGCGTAGGCTGCAGATGCTAACCAGAACGAATCGGCAAGCACGACAGATCCGTCTGTCCATAAGTGCGTGACCGGGTTGTTCGGGCAGAAAACAACCTGCTCAGATTGGTCCCAAGGATAGACTTGCAACCTGGTGTCAACAATGGCTGGTGGATGTTCCACAATGCCAAGTTTCCCGAAATTCGGGCCGAGCTCATGTAGCGGAAGGTCCTTAGTAGCGAGTGGGGAAGATCCACACTCAAACACTAGATGCTGCAGTGATTCTTTGGTGAGTCCGCAGAATCTACACAAAGCTGAGTCGGAGAAACCTGCTGCACATCGTCGGTCGTTTGTGACCGTGCGCCCAACAATTTGTGCATCAAAATGCGGTGCCAACAGCTGAAAGGAATCAGGATATCTTTTGTGCACTTGACGGAACATGGTGGAAAGGGACATGTCAATCAGTCCCGTGGGTTTGTGAAAATCCTTTCTTGCTTTTTTGGACGCAAGTTCATAGCAGTATTGCTGGCCCATTGTATACAAGAAAGGTTTGAGGTCACGTGGTGCAATCCACAGGATTTCAAAACGAATGTCCCCAATCCCAATGCGAAGGTCAGGGAAAAGACCCAACTTGAACACCTTCAGCGATTGCGCAAAATGAAACAAAAGGCTGTGTGCATTTTGCATGAAAGCGTCAAAATTGTCTCGCAACACTTGAATAGTGGTTGGATGAGCATGGATGTAGCGCCAAACATTACGAACAGCAGTGTAGGCACGAGCAACCGTCGGTTCTACAAGACAAGGCTGAGCCAGGAAGCAAAACACAAGCATTTTAGACCTCCAATGCGGTCGGTTGTGCCAGAGGGCCGTCACAATAGCACTCTGCAGCCGATTTAGGGCCGCTTTAGGAACATCAGAAACATCAGCTGCAAAAGTACACTGCGGGATCACCTTGGTGGCGATGAGTTTGGCTCGTGTCGTGTGTGACACAGGTAGAGCAGCAATGTTGCGAACATCATTACAAATCAAGTCAACCTTGCTTTCAGGAAAGAGGAAGGACTTCCTTACTGAGGTGTACATCTTGGTCCCCAAAACGTCAAATTCACAAGAAAGCGGAATAGCCGGGAAAGCTTGCTTGGCGAGTGAACGTGCATGTTTGGATGTGGCCCACAAAGTACTTTTAGCAGTATTGAGTTTCTGTCCCAACAGGAGGGTCCACTGTTCTGTGACCTGAAGAGCAATGCGCAAATTAGCAATGTGTTGAACGGAGACCCACAAGTAAGCATCGTCAATGAAGACCCTTGCAACCACATGGGGGATGGTATGGATAAACTTTACCCAGACCGCCATGAAGACATTGATGGCCAAGAGGGAGAAGCTGCACCCTTGGGCAACCCCATTAGCACATGTGACTGCCTTGGCAGAGACCCATCCCCGATAGGAGAGGTGTTTCGCAAGGCCCTGATACATCTTTACAAAGATGTTGACAATACCTCGAGGGAGGCCAAAGGCTAAAAACAATGCTGCAGCAAATTGAGGCAAAATCCTATCAAAGCACTTGGATTGGTCAAGCTTAATACCTACAATATGCTCATCGTTGGCTACAGCGATATCAATTTCGGTTCTAAGACCAACACTGATCGAGGACATAGTGCGGTTGGCGATGCCCCCACACAGTTGCATCGGTAAAACCTCTTGCTGCCAATGCTGCAACTGACGAAACCGTGTGCCTGTGTAGGCTAAGATCAGAGGGGATAAAACTGTAATGAGTCGCTTATTTAGGGGGTCCGGCGGCCCGGGTTTATGCAAGATGACTTGCTTTGCCCTAGTCAACACCTGCGGCAAGTCGAAGTCCAGCATCGATTCAAGCTGGTTGAACCAAGTTGCAATCACATCACAGCAAACTCGTGGCAGTGCTTGCAAATCAGAAGTGCGCCAGCCATCAAGGCCAGGGGCGGCATGTACCTTCCTTTTCTGAATTGTTGTGTAAATGTCGTCACCGGTCAAGGGAGGAAGATGAAAGGCAGGAACATCATGATCGATGTAGGGCCAAATCACCCTCAACATTTCAACCGGGTCCTCATGAAGAGCATTCACACCGAAAACTTGGTCCCATGTTTGGGAAATCAAGTTCATAGCATCAGACGGATTGCAAACAATATTACCCTGATTATCCATGACAAGGTTAGCAGGTTCATCACGAGCTTTATTCTTTAAGTGCTGAAAGATATACTTACAGTCTCCTTTGGCGGACTCACGCAACTTGTGTTTCCAGGCATTGATTCTCTGAAACTTCTTTTGCAATTCCCACTCAGTGGCTTGAGCAGAGATCCACGTGAGGTTACGGTAAATGTCAAGCATCGAGGGTTGGTGCCGAACTTCCCAAAGAAAGGGAGATTGCAAATCTCGCAGGGCACTCCATACCTTCTTGGCAGTACGGTGGAAAATGTATCGATCACTGGGCTTACTGGAAGGACGCTGAACTCGAGTGAAGAGCTCGATCAACCGGTGTCTCGTGTTGAAAAGCTTTGACCCCTTGAGTGTTTTTGCAATTCCTGAAGGGAGCTGACCTGGACAAATTTTCTTCTGGGTGAAAATTGGAAGTTCACCTCGAGTACGTTTACCAAAACCCCATGAGGCACCCTCTCCCGTGAGGGTTTCCACACAGAATTGATTAACAATGTCCCATTGGTCCCGGACATCAAGAGATTGATGAAAACGAGGGGCAAATTGATGATCCCATATGATCCCAACACATCCGTGCACGCTGGTCGAATTGAACGGCTTCAGGGGAGTGTGGTTTAGGGAGCGTACTTGTGTCCAATGGAGCAAACTTAAGATGGACATCCCCACACAGCAGAATGGGCTCCCAATTGAAGACGGCTCGAATTGGCCTGTGCTGCAGGTCAAGGATTTCAAGAACTTGAATGGATTGCAGTGCAGCAAATGACACATGGTTGACTAAGATAGCATCGATAGAGGTGCAATAGTCACCATGACCCGTGAAGGTGCCATCTCTAGAATAAGTGAGGGGGGCGAAACAAGTTGCCTTCCTCATCAACCTGAACCAGGGGGTCATGCCATCGGTGAAAATGGATTGCCGTGGCGACCGACGGATAATTAGACGGTTCAACCTGGAAATCCCCGGCAACAATGACCGGAATGTCACCGAACTGGGAAATGATTTCGAAAATGTCCTGCAAAAGGAGATCATTCTGATTGAAGGTTTCTGTG